ATCCAGGACCAGAACGACAACCCTCCTCAGGTGCTGTACCCAGTGCAGACTGGTGGCTCTGTGGTGGCTGAAATGGTGCCTCGTTCAGCAGATGTGGGCTATCTGGTGACTAAAGTGGTGGCTGTTGATGTGGACTCTGGACAGAATGCCTGGCTGTCCTATAAACTGCAGAAAGCCACAGACAGGGCGCTGTTTGAAGTGGGCTTACAGAATGGAGAAATAAGAACTATCCGCCAAGTGACTGATAAAGATGCTGTCAAACAAAGACTGAGTGTTATAGTGGAGGACAACGGGCAGCCCTCTCGTTCAGCTACAGTCATTGTTAACGTGGCGGTGGCGGACAGCTTCCCTGAAGTGCTGTCTGAGTTCACTGACTTTGCACACGACAAGGAGTACAATGACAACCTGACTTTTTACTTAGTCTTGGCTTTGGCTGTAGTTTCCTTCCTCTTCATCACGTGTTTGGTGGTTATTATATCAGTGAAAATCTACAGATGGAGACAGTCTCGCATCCTGTATCACTCCAGTCTCCCTGTCATTCCATATTATCCACCACGTTACTCAGACACTTTGGGGACAGGGACTCTCCAACACGTGTACAATTACGAGGTGTGCAGGACGACAGACTCCAGAAAGAGTGACTGTAAGTTCGGCAGAGCTGGTAGTCAGAACGTGCTGATAATGGACCCCAGTTCTACAGGGACGATGCAGCGGATACAGAGTGACAAGAGCATCCTGGATGAACCTGACTCTCCTCTAGAGGTTAGTTTAATAATGTAGCCTCGTGTTTGTGACTTCATGTTCTTTCAGTGTTGAGTTGCATTGTTTGAAAACTGTGGCACGGTCTTTCGGCTGTTTCAGAACCATGGACAGCTTCTCATTACCTACACTCTCAATCAGTTGTAGATTGTCACATTACATTACACACACGTTACTTTGCCTTGGTTGCAATGTGCGTATAGCAGACTGCTTTTTGTTTTTAAGGGTTAGACAGCTTTAGCCTTATTTTGCACAGACCGTTTTGAGAGCACATCTATATTGGCTTTCTGTAACAAATAAGGGGGGTTGGCAAGTTTAAGCAGTAGGCTTTTGTATCAAGGTCTCTGCCTCTTTCACTTTATATTTGTATTGTACAACATTACTAATTTAAATGTTTCATCAGTCCTTTACTGTTAGTGGCCTTGCTTTGAGTCCGTTATATTTTTTTGTGTCTTTGGTGAGGTATTTACATGAATATTGAGGTGGATATATAGGTACTTAGATAGTTATATTTTGGTGCTGACTGAGCATACAATCCAACTATTTACTGAATTGTTGTTAAGCACATGCTTTCATAATGAACACGAATGTATTTTCTGGACAGACATCAGTTAAAACTTTGTTTTCTCAAGTTGAAATTCGCAGTGTTTTTCATCTACATGAAATAATTTGTGATGTTTCGTCGTGTTGGCCAGTTTTAGACTCTTTATTAGTTCAGAACCTCGGACAGCAACTTTTCTAGATTCAGCTCTTTTTCTTCTCCATTCTCTCTTGTGTATTACTTCAATCTTTTCGTAGTCTTTTTCTAATTGTTTTCTATTTGATTCTATTTTTCTCTTTGTGCTTGTAGTCCTATGTGGTTCATGTTTTATAAACACATTATTATGGCTGAAGATAAAAACAAAAGTAAGATAACACAATCTATGTTGAAGTGTCGACTTAAATTTGCCAAGAGGATAATGCGACATGGCTTTTATTGCCTCATTTCAAGTTACACTTCTCTAACAGTAAGCTTCTGGACAGATAAGCTCATGTTGGTTGTCTGCAGTTTTGTATTATGAACTCTTAGGGCCGCTGTTGACCAGAGTGTGCACGGCTGAGGGTAGGTTTGTAGCAGCACCTCCCCTGTAACATCACCATAATGAAGAGAGAACACGACGGGAAAGGACGCACTTTCGGGATATATGAAATATCTGATAATCGACACGAAGATATCCGAGACAGATCTTTTCACTGTGTGGATTATACAGCTGGGAGATTGATGTTTGAAACTGGAATGGATTTCAGTTTATGGGATATATAACCGGACTGTGGAAGCTTTGCTGAGAACACACTCGGGTAGAACAATGAAAGGACAGGCGCTGTTGTTCATCTCTCTCCTTTCGCTCGGCTCCGTACTTGGGCAGGTCAGTTACACAATACCGGAGGAAATGTCGAAAGGCTCTTTGGTCGGTAATATAGCACAAGATTTAGGTTTAGAAACCAAACGATTAACTGCTGGTAAAGCTCGAATTTTTACCGGAGACAGCGACGAGTACATCGAGCTGAACAGAGAAAGAGGAGTCCTCCTTGTTAAAGAGAGGATCGACAGAGAGGCGCTCTGCAGACAGACGACGCCTTGTGCTTTACATTTTCAGATTATTTTGGAGAATCCTATGGAGTTTTACAGTGTGACAGTCCAGATCACAGATATTAATGATAATGCACCAACGTTTGAGGAAGGAGAAATTGAATTCAAAATCAGTGAGTCAGCAGTGATCGGTGCAAAATTTGAGCTGGAAAGAGCTGAGGATCATGATGTTGGAAATAATGATCTTCAAACATACGAATTAAAACCAACAGATAATTTTGCTCTTAAAGTCCACAGTAACGCTGATGGTCATAAAAATGTTGAGATGGTGTTACAGAAGCCTTTAGACAGAGAGAAACAGGAGCAGATCTCTCTCGTGTTGACGGCTGTAGATGGAGGAGAGCCGCAGATGTCAGGAACAATGCTGATTGTTATTACAGTTTTAGACGTCAATGATAATGCCCCCGTTTTTACACAGCCAACATACAAAGCTACAGTTACTGAGAACTCACCTAAAGGAACAGTTGTTGCCACTGTTACAGCCTCAGATGCAGATCAAGGTTCTAATGGTAAAATCATATATTCAATCACAAATACATTCGATGACGTCAGGAAAGTGTTTAAGATAAACAAGGACAGTGGTGAAGTTACTTTGATTGGCAATATTGACTTTGAGGAGTCGCGAAATTTTCGAATAAATGTACGTGCTAGTGACGACGGAGGACTCACAGATTCTTGTAAGTTAATTGTCGATGTTCAAGATGTAAATGACAACACGCCTGAAATTAAGATAATGTCAAAGTCAAATGTGATATCAGAGGATGCCAAACTCAATACAGTGGTTACAATGATAAATATAGAGGACAAGGACACTGGAGAAAACGGTAAAGTGCAATGTTTTATCAGCGACAATGTGCCATTCATTTTAAAAACATCAACAAATAATTTCTATAGTTTAGTGACAGACAGTGATCTGGACAGAGAGAGATCCTCTGAGTATAATATAACAGTGACGTGTTCTGATGAGGGAGTGCCCTCCCTCTCCAGCAGCGTCACTCTCACCTTACAGATCTCTGATGTGAATGATAACGCGCCTGTCTTTGAGAGGAGCTCATATGAGGCCTACATTGTAGAAAACAACACACCAGGCCTCTCTATATTCACAGTGAAAGCCAGAGACGCTGACTGGAACCAGAATGCCCGTGTTTCTTACATACTGGAGGACTCCTCTGTTAACGGAGTGCCAGTCTCCTCATATGTGTCCGTCAGTGCTGATAGTGGAGTCATCCATGCAGTGCGCTCTTTTGACTACGAGCAGATCAAAGACTTCCACTTCCGCGTCAAAGCGCAGGATGGAGGCTCCCCTCCACTCAGTAGCAACGTGAGTGTGAAAATACTGATCCAGGACCAGAACGACAACCCTCCTCAGGTGCTGTACCCAGTGCAGACTGGTGGCTCTGTGGTGGCTGAAATGGTGCCTCGTTCAGCAGATGTGGGCTATCTGGTGACTAAAGTGGTGGCTGTTGATGTGGACTCTGGACAGAATGCCTGGCTGTCCTATAAACTGCAGAAAGCCACAGACAGGGCGCTGTTTGAAGTGGGCTTACAGAATGGAGAAATAAGAACTATCCGCCAAGTGACTGATAAAGATGCTGTCAAACAAAGACTGAGTGTTATAGTGGAGGACAACGGGCAGCCCTCTCGTTCAGCTACAGTCATTGTTAACGTGGCGGTGGCGGACAGCTTCCCTGAAGTGCTGTCTGAGTTCACTGACTTTGCACACGACAAGGAGTACAATGACAACCTGACTTTTTACTTAGTCTTGGCTTTGGCTGTAGTTTCCTTCCTCTTCATCACGTGTTTGGTGGTTATTATATCAGTGAAAATCTACAGATGGAGACAGTCTCGCATCCTGTATCACTCCAGTCTCCCTGTCATTCCATATTATCCACCACGTTACTCAGACACTTTGGGGACAGGGACTCTCCAACACGTGTACAATTACGAGGTGTGCAGGACGACAGACTCCAGAAAGAGTGACTGTAAGTTCGGCAGAGCCGGTAGTCAGAACGTGCTGATAATGGACCCCAGTTCTACAGGGACGATGCAGCGGATTCAGAGTGACAAGAGCATCCTGGATGAACCTGACTCTCCTCTAGAGGTTAGTTTAATAATGTAGCCTCGTGTTTGTGACTTCATACACTTTCAGTGTTTAGTTGCATTGATAGAAAACCGTTGCACGCTATTTCCGCAGTTTCAGAACCATGGACAGCGTCCCATTACGTACAATCTCTGTCAGTGATAGGTTGTTGCATCATTTCGCATGCTTACTTTGGCTTGGTTGCATTGTGTGGTCAAGAAGACTGTTGTTTGTTTTTAAGGGTTAAACTGCTTAACCTTATTTGGTACAGACCGTTTTAATAGCACACTCTTCATGGCTCGCAGTAACAAATTACGGGGTACGGCAAGTTTGGACACCTCACATCAAAGTCTTTGCCTGTTTTACTTTACAGTTGTATTCAACAACATTTCTACTTTGAATATTTTACTGGTCCTTTTTGTCGGTATTCTTGTTTTGAGTCAGTAATCTGGCTTTGGGGTGAGGGTTATTTAAATTAATAGCTATTTCGCTATTTAGATAATCTTATTTTACTGCAGAATGAGCTTACAATCCAATTATTTACTGAGTTACTGTTAAACACATGATTTCATAAAGAACATGATTTTTTTTTCTGTATAAACATTAGTTAATGCTTTATTTTCTTAGGTTAAACTTGACAATGTTTTATCTACATGTCAGGACTTGTGATAATCCGTCGTGTTGGCTGGTTTCAGCCTCGTTATTAGGTCAGCACCTCGGACAGTGACTTTTCTAGACTCAGCTTTTTACCTCTCCATTTTCTTTCTTGTTTCACTTAAATCTTTCAGGAATTCTTGTCTTTTTTTAATTCATTCGATTTTTTTTTCTCTTCATATTACTCGTCACATGTGGTTCATGTTTTATAAACACAGTATTATGGCTGAAGATAAAAGCAAAAGTAAGAGAACACAATCTATATTGACTTGTCGATTTACATTTTCCAACATGATAGTGTGATTTTTATAACTTTTATTGCCTCATTTCAAGATACACTTCTCTAACAGTAAGCTTCTGGAGAGATTAGTTCATCCTGGTTGTCTGCAGTTTTGTATTATGAACTCTTAGGGCCGCTGTTGACCAGAGTGTGCACGGCTGAGGTTATGTTTGTAGCAGCACCTCCCCTGTAACATCACCATAATGAAGAGAGAACACGACGGGAAAGGACTCACTTTCTGCAGATATAAAATATCTGATAACCGACACGACGATCTCCGAAACTGATCTTTTCACTGTGTGGATTATACAGATGGGAGATTGATGTTTGAAACTGGAATGGATTTCAGTTTATGGGATATATAACCGGACTGTGGA